CTGAAAGCCTGCTGAATTTTTCAGATTGTTTCCACTTGGGTATCCACAAGATTCTGACAAAACTTGATGCAGTATCACTTCTCCAAGTGTTCTGTGATTTGAGTGAAATGAGAATGCGATGGACATGTGTTACTCCACTTCACTATCTGGCAGCCACAGACGCATCCAGCAGTGTTGCGAGTCAGCAAAAATACCACACATGAACATGCAAGTCCCTTCTACCACTATGATCAGTTTCCCCACCTCTTTGGCCATTACTTACAGCAGCACAAAATAAAGTCGGATACTTTTTGGACGGTGGTATATATATATATTGTGACATGTCAAACCGCTGTTGGGCTACGGGATATGGAATGAGGTTACGCAACTGTAAGGAAAGTGGTGTTCGTCTGTGCTGTGCCAAGCCAAAGTGCTCTGGTTGTTACGCATTGTTGGCCAGCAATGCCTCTGTAAACATGGCGATTACGTAACAGTGAAGCGAGGTGCATTTTCCGCACTTTGACTTTGACTAAGGCAGTCAGTTGAAGTCTAGCAGTTATGAGTTTCTAAGTTGTATCAAGTGAATGGAATCAAGACAGTTGAAGCCTGGAAGTGACTAAAGTAGGAGAAGTAACTAGGATACTGAAGTTGTGAGTTATGTAAGTGTGGATAAAAGAGTGCAATAAATTCACTACATCCAAGACCAGCGTGGAGTTATTTGTCATGTCAGTAAACAAACACGCAATAAATGGTGTCAGAAGTGGGATACGAACTTAAACACGACACATGTTCAGAACAAATTATTGAATTTACGAGTGGATTGAGCATTATCCTGCAAAAAAAAAAGAAAAGGAAGCAAGATATGCAACAAATAATCGAAATGCTAGCAAAATTTAAAGCAAAACTGGATGCCCACCCGGCAAAAATGGACACCAATAGAGAAGCCTGGCTAGAAGAGATGGACGCCAGACACAGTGAGATGGTGACTCAAACCAAACCCAAACCAGACGTTTGCCAAGAAATGACGGATGCACGTCTACAGGAAGAAAAGCCAAACTCAGTAGACAAGAAACCTGAGGTGAAACAAAATGAAGAGGTCCCATAAAAGACACCACACTGATGGCGGTCGGAGAACCTGAAAAAGAAATGACGATACCCTGAAAAGAGATAATGGCCTGCCAAGAAATGATGGAGGCACGTCTACAGGAAGAAAAGTCGACCTCAGTGGACAGGAAACCTGAGACAGCACAACAACAAGAAGTCCCCAAGGAAGATGCTATAGTGAAACCGGTCAAAGGACAGAAGAAGTGGCATAGGGGCCAGAAGCAAGCCGCAGGGCTACGCGAAGAGCCAAAGGAACTGACCCGAGTAGAGTGTGGATCCTGGAGGAATTTGGCTGCCGCCTGCAGGAAAATTCAGACACCGAGAAATTGTGAACCGTGGAAGGAATTGGCCACAGCCGGCAGGAAAATGACCCACTGTGCAATAGTGGCACAGTGCAAGGGATGAGAGCTTCATGGGCGCAGTCATGAAAGACCATCGGTCAAACAGGGACAGTGGAAGGATCAGACCAGGAATAAATTTACAAGAGGAACCCAGCAAGGATGGACGCATGGAAGGAGACAACTGATGCACCAGGAAGGCACCAATCTGACCAAGAATCAAGATTTCGAGGACCAGCTATGGCTTGGAAGCGAGAGGACAACGAACGGGAGCTACAGGAAGGCCATCGGGCTGGAAATCGTGAAGTGAGCATTAGGAATTTCCAGCATGTTACCAAAAATGAGGAAATGGACCTTGTGGAAGGGTCAACCTCCTCTGAAGCGGAAAAAGAAACAGCATTAGAGCAAGAGTAGCCAAATAATTGGGAGCACCGGCCACTCCCGGAGTTATGGCTCCCACTGGAGGGAGGGGGAGGGAGGGAGAGAGAGAGAGAGAGAGAGAAAGGAAGAAATCCTTTGGATGATTGTGATACAAGTGGATCTCCTGGAAAGTTAGTAGAAAACCGATCAAGACAAGCTGGTATTAAAGAAGGGGACAGATATAGCGGTTGGAGAATGGACAAGAGGAAGAAAAGAAACACTGAACCAGATAAAAAGAAGACACTGCAAGTATAACCTCAGAAGGGAAGGACCAGTGATGCACTGTTAGGCTAATAAGGACAAACAGCCTTAAGAACGGAGCAGTGTGAAGTGTCAAACCGCTGTTGGGCTACAGGATATGGAATGAGGTTGCGCAACAGTAAGGAAAGCTGTGTTTGTCTGTGCCGTGCCGAGCCAAAGCGCGCTGGTTGCTATGCAGCATTGCAGTAAACATCTCTCAGCAGCGTTGCCCAGTAACACCTCTGTAAACACGGTAATTACGCAACAGTGAAGCGAGGTGCATTTTCTGCTGACTGAGGGTTTATGCAAGTAACTGGAATGCCTAAGGCAGTCAGTTGAAGTCTAGCAGTTACGAGTCGTTAAGTTGTATCGAGTGAATGGAATCAAGATAGTTGAAGCCTGGAAGTGACTACAGCATGAGAAGTAATTGGGATACTGAAGTTGTGAGTTATTAAGTGTGGATAAAAGTGTGCAATAAATTCGCTAGATCCAAGACCGGCGTGGAGTTATTTGTCGTGTCAGTGGACAAACACGCAACAATATATATATAAAACTTTCTGAATGAATGGAGTGATGAAAAAATATGGGGCATACAATTCTAGCATTTAAAGAACACCATACAGCAGCTCTCTGGTTGTGAAATAGGAAATAATAGACAACATGTGTATTTTCAGCATCCCAATGGTGTGAGTTCTCTGAGTTACATAACAACTGAGATGAAACCAGGCTTCCTCCAACATAAAATTTAACTGAGGATCAAGGTAAAGGTAAAATTACAAAAGTGACGTATCAAAATTGGATCTGAAGTTTGAAGATGGTACACCCTCAGTACGAACATAACTTTGGATTTTCAAAACTCTAAGAACAGACACTTCTTAAATAACAGTTTCTTGGAACAATCCTTTTTGTGGGAGGAAGGTGAATTCAAGTTTTATTTGAATGTCTTTGGGGAGATTCTGGTGCAAGAACATGCTTTGGCTAATGTCTCCTCCTAACAGCAACTGACCTAGTATCACGCCACTTTCTGTACAACTTTAATATGCATGGTTTGCTGGGAAAAGGGAATCCACATTATGCCAATGAAATTTACAAACATACGAGGGTAAGTCAATATGTAAGTTACAAATGGATACAGAACTTAAACAAATAAGAGTACTGATTTGAAAAATGCTTTTATTTCTCAACATAATCTCCCAGTACACTGAGACACTTGTCCCATCAATTCACAAGCCTCTGAAAACCAGCAGCATAAAATTCTTTGGGCTACTGTTGGAACCAAGCGTGTTCACATGGCATGGACTACCTCATAATGCAGGACAGGTTACGTTTTCACAAAGTCTGTGCATGATGGGTGTAGCGCATGATGACCCCACAACACAAAATGCAAAGAATGGGTCTGGCATTACAGCATCAAAATCGCCACCACAATGAAGGACACAACATGCTAGCCCGAACTGTCACAGGTGATGAGTCTTGGGTTCACCATTACCAGCCCAAGACAAAGCTTGCATCATTGCAGTGGAACCATCCTGCGTCACCTGCCAAAAAAAATTTAAGGTGACACCATCCTCCAGGAAAGTGGTGCTCAGTCTTCTGGGATCATGAAGGCATATTGCTCACCGCATTCCAGCCACAAGGACAAACCGTAAATGCCAACTCCTACTGTAACATCCTCAGGAAACTTCATAAGGCCATTCAACGGAAACATGCAACCTGTCATGCATTATAAGGTAGGCCATGCCGTGTGAACATGCCTGGTTTCGACAGCAGCCCAAAGAATTTTATGCTGCTGGTTTTCAGGGGCTTGTGAAACGATGGGACAAGTGCCTCAATGTACATGGAGATTATGTTGAGAAATAAAAGCATTTTTCAAATCAGTACTCTTATTTGCTTAAGTTCTATATCGATTTGTAACTTACTTATTGACTTACCTATGTAATAAGGTTTCTTCCTTCTACTGTAATCCTCACACGAAGACCATGCAGCAACTGGCATAAATAAGCTCATGCACTTATTATCAACGTGACTGCAGCAACAGACTCTGCAATGTACACTGACCACTGATTAGCTTGACTTCAAACAAAATGATGTAACTCTTGGTTGAACTTCTCTGTACACATCATGCATTCCAATAAAATTATGTAAATGTCAAATAATATTATATACACTGACAAGTCTGACAGAAATGAATTTAAATATTCTTCAAAGTAATTAACTATTAACCTACTAGCCCAGCCTGAAGTGTAAGGTATGCTGTGTATATAAAAAATCCTGGGACAATAACAAAAATCATAAAATTCTGGTGGAGAAACCACGTGAAGAGACAGAAACTAGATCGAGGAGTGTAATGTTTCAGAGTTTTTAATTTCCAGATTATGCCAAAAATTTATTTAGAAAATAGTCAAAACTGTAAACATTTGTTACAGCAATTATGGATTTTTGGATTCTATAACACAAATTCTGTAAAACAATCAGCAACTTAGCAGTGTGTCAGAACATTAGCTAGACAAGAAAAAGTGTTTTCAAGAATCATAAAATAGTGGTACTACACAGCGGTTTAAAAGTCGGCCTAATTGCAGACGGTGTTAAAGAATGTTTAGAGAATTCAATATGTTGATTATATGTTATGTAATTACAAAATTAAACCTGAGGGATCCTTGACAAGACTGATCACAAATATCTGAAGTTATTAGTTACAGAATATGTTTAACAAGTCATTTAATTACTAAATGACTGTAGTAGAGTTCTTCAGTTATTACAAGAGCCAGAAAACAGAAGCCTCAAAAATATGGAATGAAGAGAAACTATTAAAATTACCAAAGGTGATGAAATACAAGGGATTTAAGATCTTCCTTGAAGTTGTTCTTTCATAAAAAATAGTCAATCATGACTTTAAAATGAAAAAAGATAACCACTTACCATGTTGCAATGCCTGCTGCAGTGGAGGTGACTCACTACGCTCACTGGGACTAGGTGGAGTAGGTGGCTGCTCTCCATAGCCAGGCTGATCCACATAGTTGGCACTATCTCCATAAGCTGGGAAGGTACCAGGATATGGTGGGTTTGTATAGGGGTACTCTGGCCGTGGAGGATATTGTTCATAATCTTGATAGCTCTGGCGATAAGGTTCCGGATACCGCCGAGCTGCAACAGATTGAAAGCAATGTGTAGCCACTGCAACTCTTACTGCATGCCTTGGAATACACTGCTGAGTGTCTTAATGCAACTTCAAGCAAGCACTGCTTTTCCATACAGATTACTAACATGAAATGCTAACATATTAAAATGGATCTTAGAGAGAAAGGATGAGATGGTAAGGATTGGATTGATCTGGCTCAGGATAGGGACCAGTGGAGGGCTCTTGTGAACACGGTAATGAACCTTTGGGTTCCATAAAAAGCTGGGAAGTTCTTGAGTAGCAGCACAATTGGCAGCTCCTCACAAGAGCTGAACTCTCTGAGTTAGTGTTAATTGAGTCCCTTGTCACCACAGCATGGCACCTCTGCAGGTTTCAGAGGAGAAGGCCTCCAGATATGGAGGGTAGCTGTGAATATACTGAATAAGCAGCCGTGAACACCCGATAAGGAGTGGTCCTCCAGCTTGCATTTTGGGTGTGGGGTTAATTTCTCGCTGTAAGAAATAAGGCTATTATGAAATATTACAAACGGCCTCAGACTTGGATGGATTCTTTCTATAAACAACCTAATCTAAGAAAAAAGGTGGGAAAGCCAGAAGGAAAGAGACCACCAGGAAGGCCTAGACATAGGTGGGAGGATAATACTAAAATGGATCTTAGAGAGGATAGGGTGATATGGACTGGGCTGTTCTGGCTCAGGATAGTAACAAGTTGCAGGATCTTGTCAATACAGTAATGAACCTTGGGGTTCCATAAAATGTTGGGAAATTCTTGAGTAGTTACTTCTCAAGATGGGCTAAGCTCTATGATGTTAGGCAAATTTAAACACATTTACAACTTAAATATAAACTTTACCATTATGGGCATTCAACAGTAATAACAAAAAGTAGTTTAGACTAACCTGGATCCAAAGGAGGATATGGCTCCTGGCTGGCCAAAATTTCATAATTTGTGAACTGAGTGTGAGGGTAGTTAGGTGCTGTAGATGTAGGAAGAACAGCAACTCCAGAATAAGGTACACCCACATAGTCCACAGGTTGCCCATCTGGTCCTACATGATGGACTTCTCGCACAACCTTTGTCAGCGTTGTCACCTAAAATCAATGCATCAATAATGACAACTGTAACAATATATATTGATATGACAGCTGAAAGCCAGAAGTCAAACGAGTAGGGACAGTCACTGTTACTCAAACAGTAGACACATCTCCACATCAATATATGACACAACCTCATCACATACAGTGCTTTCTATGCAGCCACTGCTAGGCAATGGTACAGCAAACACTCTTCTGCAGCAACAAATCAACATGCAGCAATAGAGGAATTGCTGGAAGCAACGTTTTCTGTATGGTTCACACTGAGGATATATAATGAGTACTGGCAGTAGCAGGCAGGTCAGCAAGGGTCAGCAGCAATATAACTGACAAACTGACAGACTGATCAGCCAGTCACCCAGAGTTGTGAGACTAAAATATGGTTACATCACTGCTACGAACTTTACACAAAATGTTATCCAACATTTTTCTCTCAAGGTTAAGTCCATACACAGATGAAATTATTGAGGATCATCAGTATGGGTTTCGACATAAGAGATCAACTACTAATCAGATCTTTTGCACTCATCAGATACTGAAGAAAAAATGGGGAGTACAATGAGACAGTACATCAGCTATTCATACTCTTCAAGAAAGCCTATGATTCAGTTAGGAGGGAAATATTGTACAATATTCTGATAGAGGTGGGGGTACCGATGAAACTAGTCAGCTGATTAAAATGTGTTTAAACAAAATGTTTAGTAAACAGGTAAAAATTTGTCTGATAATTTTCCTATCCTGAATGGCCTAAAACAAGTATACCTTCATTTCAGATGGTACATGATTTAAATTTCAGTTGGTGCTGCCTTTTCTGACAGCGTTTGTGGTTTCTCTGAGTTCCAACAGAAACTTCTGAAGTATAACTTTACATGGAGGTAGCCACACTGCATTACATTCTTGTTCTCTTTCTCCTCCTTGAAGTTTTGGTTATGGCACTGCTCACAGTTTGAAATTTCAGTTTCAGCAGCAAGTAAATGCATATCTACACCCCACATAGCTCAAGTTGGTGGGTACATTAGAAGCATTGATGGGTAGAAAGAACAGCTGTGAAAATGCATATTCCACTGCATGGAACATTTTATCCAAACACATTCTTAGCCTCTTTTTGTACCTCAGAGACTTCTGTGGTCAATGTTTTGCAGAAAGAGCTGAACAATTTATTTCTGCAAAGCTATACCATGCAACAGACATTGCCACATTATTAGTGATAGAGATGGGGTTTGAATTTGTAAATGGCTTTGACTCTTACAAACCATAACCATATTTGTAAGATTTGAGGTTTTCACAGCGGTGACTAAGAAAAAAGCAGTCTTCTGGGATATGGCACCATGTAGATGTGGTGTTAACCGACGTTTCGGAGGAACGCATCGCCTCCATCTTCAGGGTAGAAGAAGAAAGAAGAAAATCCTCAAGCGAAGAACCAGAACAACATAATGGTCAGTTTTGATGTAGTGTCGCTCTTCACCAGGGTGCCTATAAATGATACTATGGATCTGCTGGGAAGACATTTCAAAGAAGGTATATTGAGACTCTTCTGCCATGTCCTAACCACCTCAAACTACAGCTTCAATGGCCATTTCTATGAACAAACCAATAATGTGGTGATGGGCTTGCCACTGTCTCCGGTCATCGCGAACTTATATATGGAGGACTTCGAGGAGAGGGCACTTGATTTGGCCACGCACAAGCCCCGCCGCTGGTTTTGCTACATAGATGACACCTTCATCATCTGGTCACACAGGGCCAACAAGCTTAAGGACTTCCTGAACCAACTAAATAGTATCCACCAGTGCATTCAGTTCACAATGGAGACTCAAATTGGGGGCCATCTCCCCTTCCTGGATACAGATATTTACAGGAGACCTGATGGTTCTCTGGGCCATAGAGTGTACCACAAATCCACCCATACAAACCTTTACCTTAATGCTGCATCCCACCACCACCCATCCAATAAGCAAGCTGTACTTTCCACATTTGTGCACAGGGCTAGAGCTCTATGCAATCAAGACAGCCTACATGCAGAGTTGGTGCACCTGGGGGACGTTTTCAGGCAGAACGGTTATAACAACCAGCAGATCCGCAGAGTTCTCAACCATCATCCGAACATCAGTCGGCCCGATGATAAACCGGACTCAGTCACCTTCCTGCCCTATGTTGGAACTACATGTATATTCAACCGAATCAGCAGTGCTGTCCTGGCACAACATCAAATCAGTAGACCTGCCTCCAAATAAATTATCTAGTTTCCTATGGCCGGTCAAAGATAGCCTGGGTCTAAGGACACCAGGTGTGTTAAGTATCCCATGCGAGTGCGGCAAGGTCTATATTGAGCAGACGGGCCGTTCCGTGGACACGAGGTTGAAGGAGCATCAGCGGTACATCTGTCTCAAACATCTGAACAAGTCAGCTGTGGCTGAACACAGCATCGATTTGGGTCACCGCATTCAGCTTCAGAATACCTCCATTCTCGCCACCAAGACCCATTACATGGATCGCATCATTAGGATGGCCATTGAAATTGAACTCCATCCCGACATTATTGTGACGTATTGCGCTACGGAGGACACCCCCTCCCTCCCCAGCGGTGACGTGGCGGCATCAGAGCGCTGTCGTTACTACGGTAACAGGCAAGTCAACACTCCTTCCCCTACCCTGCCAGCGGTGACGTGACCAAGGGATGGCGCGGCTGCTATGCAGAAGTAAACAACTCCCGACAGCGTTGCTAGGCTATCAGTAAACAGGCGACTAGGCAACAAGGAAGCAAGGCATTTTCCCGTTGTCTGGCTGAGGGTTTATAAGAGAACTACACTGCCTATGAGTCAGGAGAGAACCCCCCATGTGGAGGCGGGGTCGAATACCTCCACCGTGAACCTGCAAGTTGTAAGAGGCGATGAAAATGGAAGTCTCAATTCTCAGACAGTAAAATAAGGTCACGAGACTGGCAAGAGCCAGCAGCATATACAAAAGAGCAGACCCGTCCTCTCGTCAGAGAGGGCGCCACACAAACTCAAGACCGTAACTGTCAAACAGTAATAAATATCTGGTCATGAGCCCCAGATTGGGCTCGACACCAAGACTTACTGACTGACTGACCGTCAGTCGCAATGTGACTTTCACTTTGACTTATGAAGCCAGTTAAATTGTAGCAGCCTACGAAGTGAGTTAAAGTGTAGTGGCCTACTAAGCAAGTTAAAATGTAACAGCCGCAGAAGACAGTTGGAATCTAGCAGTGGTAGCAGAAAGAAGAATACCGGAACATGTGATTAGAAGTGATAGCGTGAGAAGCAGATGCTTGCCTCACAAAAGAAGTAATTGGGAGTGTGTAATACAGAGAGACTTGTATAGCTCCCGTACTGTGAATACGTGTAGACTACTGAGGACAGTGTGAAGAGATTTGTGTGTAGGGTTTGTAAAGTGTGTAAACCCATAACAGTGTTATAATTAATTGTAGCCAAGACTTGTAGGTTGTTAAATAAACCAATTAACAATCCGAACAGCGTCTTCAGTGGCAAAAACACGTTACAATATGAACAGAGAGGTGGGGTTTTGCCTCAGCAAGTAATGGAAGCCTCTCATCTGTTCCCTCAAGAAACCTTCAGGACATGACGCCAGATCCACAAGGCCACACAAGTCCATGCCCAACACGCATAGCAACCTCAAAGCTTAAGGGTTATTGTCCTCCCATTAACCTTGCCCTTCTCCTGCGACACAATATTCTATACCTGCTCTAGCCTACTACCTACTGGCCCACCTCCCAAGACCCTTCCCTCCCCTCTCTACTGATTTCCCATGTAGCCCCTCTCTCTTCTCTTCCCGCTATTATATAGCTGGTTTTTTCTCGACATTAGTCTATTTGCATCTGCTCACACTGGTTCTTTGCTTGTGGATTTTTTCTTTTTTCTTCTACCCTGAAGATGGAGGCGAAACGTTCCTCCGAAACGTCGGTTAACACAACATCTACACAGCGCCATATCCAAGAAGACTGCTTTCTTCATAACCACATTTAATTACAGCACTAGCACTAACTCACACACACTGCACAATTCACTACAACACGAACTAAGTCTTTTCAGTCTGCTGTGTCTTTACCAGTCATTGCTTGCTAACAACTGCCAACACCAATGATTCATCAGCTTCCATGTTCAGTGCCACCTGTCCTCACCGGCTAGCAGCTTCTTCACAACCTGACTCATAGCTACAACTCCTGGCCATTGACTCTTATCCACATCTGGCCACCAGTGGCTATCTCTCACTACATCTCGCTATCACAGGCTAGAACGAACTTCCAACTCATCTGTCATCTCTAACCACCAATTTCAGTTCTCCAGATATAATCTTGGCACAGACCACACAGAAAACAGCCTACAACAGCTCCAGAGGAGCTGTTGTTGCTGTGGTCATGTGATGGTTTCTGACAACAGCATAGCAATGAATGCTCACTTAATACTGCCTCTGCATGTTTATTGTGCTGTAACCAAGCAATGATTGTTTCTTCTGCCTCCAGAATTATAGCTCTGAGCCCTCATGTCACATTATCATACTGTCAGAGTCAGAAATAATTTTTCTTTGCATTAGATACATATTTTACATGTTGAAGAACATTACAAATAAAGTTGTCGATATTCCATATTGTGGTATACTAATTTTTGGCACCAAGAGCTGGTTTTGAGAAATCTCACAAGAATTAAATCTGAGCATCATATAAACAGATGCAATTCATCAGTACACGCTAAAATTAAATTTGGCTGATAACTGTTGATGTGCACACCCAAGACCAACTTCCATCAAAATCCATTCAGTGCTTTTGGTGAAGAAATAAGATAAATGAACACAACCCCCTATTTATGTGCATATTTTCTACATATGCAGAGAATGTTTAGAGCAGGTCCCTACTGCCGAGTGAATGAAATAACCAAAATATACTAAATTTAATGACAGATAAAACCAATGAATTCTGAACAAATAATTTCAACACCTCTCTGCCCTCTGCAAATCCAATGCAAGGAAAGAAATTGAACAAATTTTTATTGCCAGTGTACATCTTTCAATTTGTATACCAACTTCATTACCATCTGGCAACCAAGAAAAAACAAGCTTAAGTACAAGGTGGTTCAAATATGACCGGGACTGATTTTTTTTTTAAACCAAAATTGCCAAACACTTACTTGCACATGTCAGTCTTCAACGTACTCCCCTCCGGAGTCAACACATTTTTTCCAACGTTCTGGAAGCATCCTGATGCCCTTTTCAAAAAAGTTTTGTGGTTGGCGGCATATCCACTCCCAAACATTCTGGATGACGGCATCGTTGTCCACAAACCGCATGCCTTGCAAGTCTGATTTGAGCCTTCCAAACTTGGTGCCAAATCGGGACCGTATGGCGGATGTGTCAGAAGGTTCCATTTCAATTTCTGGAGGGTTTAGGGTTTCCATTGTTGTTCTGGCCGTATGGGGGCATGCACTGTCTTGAAGGAAGGTTACCCGCTTTCCACCTCTCTTCCGCTTGGATCAGATCTTTTCCTTCACATCTGTTGCCAGGAGGTCTGAGTAATAAGCTGCATTGACTGTTCTGGCATCTGTCAGAAGTCTACATGGATAACCCCCTGCCAGTCCCAGAGGAACGTTGCCATCACTTTTCCTGCCGAACGGCTCCTCCGCGCTCTCTTGGGTTTGAGAGAACTGGTATGCCGCCACTCGCGTGATGATTGCTGGGACTCAGGAATGAAGTAGTGCACCCACGTTTCATCAGTGGTCACTATAGACTTCAAAAATGCATCACTTTTGTCTTCAAACTGCTGTAGGAGATGACTGGCAACTTGCATGCGCACCATTTTGTTCACGTCCGTCAAAGTGCGTGGTACCCACCATGCATTCACCTTGCGATAGTGCAGGTGGTATTTCATGATGTCTTCTACACTACCAACACTGATGGACAGCATTGCTCCAAGTTACTTGATAGTGATGCGCCTATTCTCACAAATAAGTGCGTCTGCACGATCAATGTTTGGCTTGCTGACGGATGTTCGCGGCCGATGATCATGCGGTTCATTCTCCACACGCTCTCTGCCCTCTCTGAAGAACTTACACCACTCAAACACACGGGTCCATGAGAGACACTCTTCCCCATACTGTTGTTGGAGTCTGTGGTGAATTTCAGCGGACAGGACGTTTTCTCCGAGGAAATTGATCACAATGCTTTGTTCCACACTCCGCGGTACCTTCTGTTCACTCATCACTCTAGCAACTTCCAGAGAGGACTGAACAGGTTCTAACCCTTACAGGAGGGAGGGTGGAAGTTGTGGCTTCACTCTCTCAAGGTCGCACAGCTGCTGCACAGTGCGGCTTGTTTACAAAAAAATAGTCCCGGTCATATTTGAACCACCTAGTACATAAAATAAGCATACAAATACCTCACCTGCTGTGTGGTCTGCTGTTTCTGGGTGCGAGACACAAGAGTTCCAGCATCCCCACTCTGAACTGAGAGGTGAGATGAGTTTGGTGAGTGATTGTCCGGGTGACCATTTGTTGGATGGTACGTCACATCCACTGAATATGAACTAGTCTGTTGCAGCTCTGGCTGCCCTCTGCAACAATCCACCCAATCAATCACATAATCTCCTCAGATATTATGCATTTACCCTTTAACCATTACATTCTGTCCAATCTATATCATATTCCATTCAAGTTTGGTACTATACGACACACTTGATATTGTAACTACAACATACTGAATGTCCAATCACCTGGAAGACAACCATTTACAATTAGCATCACACATGGTCTGACAATAAAGTTGATGAACTCATCACAGTAAAATTGCTACATACCTCATTGCTGAATATCACTATGGTCGCCTTCCAAGTACACCCCTTGGAAAACTATACACCGAAGCCAGCTCCTAGTCCAACCTGCAAAGCAATTCTGGAACTGGTTTCTGTGGAAAGGCCTTCAAAGCTGCTGTCGTATTATTCCTGATGTCATCAAGGTCATAAAAATGCCATCCTTTCTATATTTCCTTTTATTATTGGGTAAAGAAAAGTCATTGGGGGCTAGATCCAGTAAATAGGGAGGGTGTTCCAACACAGTTATTTGTTTACTAGCTAAAAACTCCCTCATACACAGTGCCATGTGAGCAGGTGCATTGCCATGATGCAAGACCCATGAGTTATTGGCAAAAAGTTTAGGTCATTTCCATCTAACTTTTTCACACAGCTTTTGGAGTACTTCCAAATGGTAAACTTGGTTGATTATTTCTCCAGCTGGTACAAAATCATAATGAACAATCCCTCTAATATCAAGAAACGTTAGCAACACTATTCTGACTCATAGTATTGGTAGACCCATGTTTCATCAACTGTGATGACACAGCTCAAAATGTCATCTTGACTCTTCAAAAGGTCTTGGAAAATTTTGACTCTTCTTTGCTTTTGTTCTTCAGTGAACTCCATTGGGACCATTTTTGTTCACACCTTCCTCATGTCAAGATCTGCAGTTAAGATTTTCCTGTTTTTTTATTGCTAGTGGGGTGGGACTAAGTCCCTTGTACTGCAGCCACTTCTGGCCTATTGTACCAGCCCCATATGATAGGTGAGGGTCATTGTGGAGCAATTGGTGGAATGAAGATTGGCAGGGGAAACCGAAGTACTCAGAGAAAACCTACCCCAGCACCACTTTGTCCACCACAAATCCCACTTGACCAGACCCGGGATCGAACCCAGGCCGCCACGATGGGAAGCCAGTGACTAACCGCTTCAGCTATGGTGCGGCTCTTCTTAACTGTTTCTCTGCTGATGTTTGCTTGCTCTGCCATGCTCCTGACAGTCAGAAGACAATTTTCACACAAAATTTGACAAACTTCTGCAATGATTTCTTCAGTTCTGCTTCTTGCTGACCATCCTGATCTTGCTTCATCAGTGACACTTTCACTTCCCTCAGAAAAACAAGTCACCCACTTGTAAACTGCTGTTTTCTTCACAGCATTATCCTGTAAACTTGCATTAATATCTCTCTCTGATTTCGCTTCCACTCTTGCCAAGTTTAATAAGAAATTTAATGTTTGTTTGTTGCTCTAATTCAAGCTCCAACATTCTCACAATGGCACACCAAAACAGACTCAAACAATAACAGATCCTACTCAGAAAGAGACTGCCACAGATCAACAGCACAGCTATGAAACCTTGATATGCCAACGTCATCAAACCACACTGAGGTTTCGGTCCACTGCTGCCACGGCAAAGAACACAGTGGTGAGTTCGCAAACTTTATTGTCAGACCTTGTACACAAGAGCACTTCGCTCAACCTTAACTGTGCTAGGATGAATTAACCCACTGACTTCAGAAAACAGCTTCTTCCTTCTATACCTCTCACATTAACAGTGGAAGGTCAGCAAACTGAGTTCTGTACCACTCTAAATTTTATTACTTTTAGTTCATTTACTTCCTGATAGGTATCAGTGGAAGAGAGCTAACTTATATCACATGTTGCAAAACAAGGAAATTTAAAGGACATAAACCTGCTTCATCATTCTTAGCATTAAACAAGTTACAAGAGCAGATTTATGTAAACAAAGGATAGCATTTCACAGTCTTGATCAAAAGATATGTTGGAAGAGCACAAAAAAAAAGGTGAAAAAATCTGTGAAACAGATTCCATATTATGATTTTAAAATATCCAATACAGTGTGTTGTTCTACAGTGAGGACAGCTGGTGGATGTATGGAAGCATCAAACTACTAGGGCGCAAAAGGCATTTCAAACAGAAAGCTAAAACATGTTCTGCCTAAAGTGGGGTGAATAAACCAATTCTCATTAATAAGCACACTTGCACCTAGCAGTTATTTAAAGAGAATCAAAATGTTTTCACTATCAGAATGCCTATATTTTCCACGTGTCATTTTACACATTTTCTATATAGCAAAAGTGCTATTTAAGGCTTCTTTGTGGAACAATGGATCTGAACAATAAACCAAGGAAAATCTTCAATGAAGCACATTTAACACTAAAATTAATGACATACGATCACTGAAACTGAGCATCAAATGAGTGAAAACACACTGAGGAACACTAAACAGGTGGTCCACTGTACATGTACACACAACACCTTGGTATTAAACAACTGATTATAGACTTAAGAGGTTACATTCAAGAATTTAAATACTTACATCACAAATGGTTTTAGAATCTGTTTCCTTGAAAACGGAACTGGATTTTTTAATAAATGTAGGGTGGAAAGAAACAACAAACATACAGCATATACACAAAATCTGAGCAAGTGACCTGTGTCACATGTGGCATTGTTTGGGCGAGTAAAGAGGCACAGAGATCGTCACACTCTCAATTCCAAAGACATCATGCCAGTCTAACAAACATGAGCAGTGCATGTGAACATACATTATTACAAATTATTTCTGATATGATAAACATATACACTCACTAATAACAATGTGTATTGTGGTGTATAGACCTGTTGCTAAGCGGTGACACTGTAAACAGCGGCTGTTTCTCAGCAACAGCTTGGAAAACATGTTCCCGTTGCTAGGCAGCAGATTCTTAACCTTTAATGTCCAAAGCGCACAAATCGGTACACTGAAAGGTACAGTTGTTGTGACTAAAGTACACATATTCGTTCATGCGGGTACATGCCGCTAGTAGAAGGGCACACACAATTCTAAGTAATTTCTTCTAAATATAGTATAAATGTACATACATTTTTCTGGGGAGAAAAGTTGGATGCAGAAACAAGAGCTATCCAAGCGGAGACGAGAGCCATCCAAGAAAGGACTGCCGCCATGCGAGAGAAGAGGTTGCAAGCCAATGTGGATGCTTGGCAGAAAGAGATGACGGTCTGGCGAGAAACGACGGAGGCGCATCTAAATGAGGAACCTGACACGGGAAAATTGCGGACCCCAGAATAAATTAGCCGTCGTCCACAGGAAGGTGTCCCGCCATGCAAGAGTGGCATGGCGCCAGAGAAACATCTTCAGGAAATCTTGGACCCGAGCAGATCATGCGTCCCGGATAAAGTTGGCTGCCACCTGCAGGAAGATATCCTGTCGCGCGACAGTGGCACAACGTTGGAGAAATTACTTCAAGAAGGAAACTCCCCAGGGGACCTTTGGATACTGGAGAAAGGACTTGGAGCCACGGTCTCGCACCAGCAAGAAGCGGCTTGAAGTCCAGGAGGAACAACGACGTCAGCGAGTGCAAACAACGCACCAAGAGCTGTTACATCGACATAAGGAACCTCCGAAGAAAGAAATGATCAAGGATTGGACCTTGTGGAGGGGACGACCCCCTCCAAAACGAAAAAAGAAGCAGGGCACAGAAGAGGAGCCGGTAAAATAGAAGAACCGGCCTCCCCAGAGAGAGTGAATGTGCGACAGAATGAAAGTAATGGATGAATGGGACACAACTGGATCTTCTGGCGAGCTGAAAGGAAACCGCTCGAGACGAGCTTTGTCTTAAGAGGGGAGCGGATGTAACGGACGAAGAATAGTCGCTGCAAGAAGAGTAGCCGAAACAACAGGAGACACTGCAAGCACAGCTACGGGACGGGAAAGGAACGGGGGTGCACCGTTAGGCTATTCGGGGAGGGAGCAGTGTAACATGTTGCGCAACGGAGAACCCCTCCCTACCCAGCAGCAACGTGGCAACTCAGGCCACAGGCGCGTGGCGGTAACGTAGCGCTCCCTCCCTCCCTTCCGCGATGACGTAACGCGCAACGCTACGTACCCATAATCAACTTCCTACTGTGACGTGGCACGCAACAGGCACCACTGCGGCTATATAAGNGTGATACATAGCTCCCCTACTGTAAACGTGTAGACTACTGAAGACAGAGTGAACTGATTTGCGCATAGGGTTATAAATCGTGAAACCCCGCAACAGTGGCAACAGATTAATGGGATTAGGGTTATAAAGTGTGAAACCCCGCAACTGTGTGATAATTAATTGTAGCCGTTGTTTGTAGATTGTTCAATAAACCAATTAACGATCTCTACGGCGTCTTCAGTAACGAAACACGTTACAATATATAGGTTTCACCCCCACCCCCTTTCATCTAACTTAATCGCACCTTTGTATGGTATTCGTTGAAGCACCTGAGAATGCACAGTCCCAAGACACATATCTTGAAAAGCGAAGCAAAAATGTGAGTCTTATAAATAGAATAATAAAATGATGTTTTAGTGTTTCCAGACGTATTATGACACCAGAAACTGCAGATATGTCAAGTGTTACTAGAAGAAATGATTTTATAATGCAGAACCACTTCGTGAAGAACTGAGAAAGTCTTCTGTTCAATAAGCATAATAATTACACACAAAAATGTGTAACCTTTTTGCCTAACATTTTCAAATCTTACATTATAATAAGTGACATTATGTTCTTTGCTGATGAAAACAAGGTTAATTCCATTCCTTTATCATAAAAATTGTATCAGATAAAACATTTTTAATAAAGTGCTTAAAATTATTTAAGACGATAAACAGCAAAGGACATTTAAATGCCCAACAGCAAAGGGCATTCAAATAACTCCATCCAGCTCACCCTTTGGTCATTGAAAAATTCTGGCATTTAAAGGTCAATAATGCAAAAGCTGGACTAACAATGTAAATGGGGTGTTTCTACATGATCCATGACAAGATGTTATAACTAATGAACAAAGTTAGTTGAGGGTGAGTTCTGTATAGGAGTCTGTAAAGAGAGGACCTCAGCACATAAAGGCGGATAACCTCCATTGCTGAAGACGGCAGGGAATGGCTGGTGAAGAAACAGCAGGCTGGAAAAGGCTTAGCACATGCTATGTGATTTGTGAATTGTTGAGATTAATGGTGGCACTGTAACTGCTTGTAGTTCCAAGTCATGTCACCATTCCAAACCCCGTCTATAGTCACCCCTACACGTGATAGTTTATTACTACTACTAAATTAAAATGATTATATATGAAAATGATCATGAACACTCGTTATGTTACAGCATTACTTCCATTCCAAAATCACATTCTGAGGCTTATTCAAAATTCACTTCATCATCACTGTTACACTCATTGTCACCATTAGGCCCACCCACTGATCTGCCATTATGCCATACCCCAGTATTCCTTTCTGGTCTTTTTCATGTGTTCACCCAATGACAGCCCATCACCTTTCCCCACACACTGAAACATTCCTTCACAAAGAGAACCTAAATCCGAACCAAATGATATGTTTCTAGGCACAACCATCCTTTCGCCTTCAGCCAAATGTTTTCTGCTGTGTTCAGAATGGGGCGGTATGGTAGCAAATGCAAGACCCTCATGGCCATTATTACTCGTACTCTTGAAAGTTTCAGCAGTATTTTTTAATGCCTGGTTTGCGCAATTTTATGAGGGTATATAATGCAGGTTTTAAAATTTCATACTGAAAAGGAATACATCTTTCTGCCAGCCATTTTATCATTTTCTTTATCAAGCTAGAAGTTTGAAGTAGGGAGAACAACAACAACATTGTGGTAAGATGCAATATCTAAAACAATTACAGAATTTGGAGGTAGACTGAAATTCATTTTTCTTTCATCCATTTCTCATAATTACTTGTATTCACCTGACGATATGCCACCTGTATCCTGTGCTTATTTTGCCACAAGCAGAGCATTCAGCACAAAACTGTTTTCTCTTCCCACATGAAATTATAATCAATATCTTGCCTTTAGGCAGGCATACCAGTAAAGCCATTACGTCATAACTGTAGAACTTGTTCTTGGCATGTCATCACAATATGTGCAATTTATCATTAGAAATTTTTCTGCCTTCTTCACTAAATTGATGTTTTCTCAAGTACAGAATCTCTTGTTCTCTTATGTCATGGTTCTCTATTGGAACTGCGGTGTTGCTTTTTGTTTTTTGCCTTTTAAATCCCGACTTCATCAAAAATTTTCTGACATTTTTCCTTCATTAAAATTTATCAACTAGAAAACATAGGTGGCACTCACTTCTCCACTCTACAGAAGCTGCAGACCGTTTTCCTAATTACAGATGCATTAAAATTATCAATGTTGTGAACTGGCTTTCTATGGTGCTGACATTTCTGGTCTGATGCATTAGTATATTTTTTCCCCCCTTGTTAAATTTTCTCAACAGAACACAGAAACTCCTCTTGCTTCTGCTGTTCTTTCTTGCACATATTGTAAATATCCTGTCACTGAGTACATATCCATAAAGTTAACAGCACTGTAAATTACCTCTCTTGTTAAGCTATGAAGTTTCTTACTCCGTAAGGTTGACTATATAGGAGGCATGTTCAACAAACGGTCACAAACATAAAAATGCCATAACAATTCTAAAAAAGATACATAATATAGATACACTATTGTTAAACATCCAAATGGACACACGCCATACTTGCTTTTCTAATACAAGCTCTTATTAAAGCCAATAATTAGAAACAGAAGGCAAGCATTGGGTAATCACACAAAGTCACAAGACAAACTCCTATCTCTGTCACCGAGTAACAGCCGAGGCTGTGATACTGTGTACAGACAGATCAATCCATCTCTCTCTTCTGATCACTGTCTCTTTCTCTCCTCAACAGTCTTCACCTACTCAGATTTTGGGCACATGCTTTATAAAAACCATTACTTCATGAAGTCTTCTAAAATATTCACAGAGAAATTTTTACATTACATGACACTCAGCAAGTGATATCTCTTGTTTATTTGCTCACATAAGAACGTGAAACCTGAACACACTGTCTACACTTGTCTCTTAGTAGAATAAATATGACATCTATATAACATCAATGCCATTCCCAAACTTCTTTAACATACTGACGTCAGAATTCAAATGCCATCATTGTTAGTAGTCAAACCTGTTACTGGACATGATCCTGAGGCAGTTTCCTTCCACCTCCCATCCTCAAAACATATATCCCCAAAAACCATCTTAATGTTATCCTCCCATCTCCCACCCACTTCATTTATCCAACAATAATAACTTGTATTTTAATCACATGTCATACTGTAACTTTTCAATAAACTATACTCCATGCATATTTGGCCCAATACAATTTAAAATTGTTACAATGAGAAATAATGAGTAACACTAATATAAACAGAATGTTTTGAGAAAATAATACTTACGTATATTGTGGCATATCAGGGGTTTTCTCTTGCAATACTCTCCTGAAAGAAACATGCATATAAGTTACAGTTCCTGCATCACTCTTTATAATGATGGACAGACAAAGTTTACCACTCAAATTCTTCATATGTTCCAGTTATATCCACTAAACAATGCTATCCAAGTGGCCTTACCTGGTACTCATGCAAAAAGCTTATGTCTATCTTAGTTCAATGAACGTTTGCCACTACAGCAGGCACCCACATGTACTCACACGCATATAAATGCATGCACACACATACAAACATACACATCTTTGAATTATGTTACTATGTTCCAGCAATTCAATTTTCATTAAACTGCACATAAATTTACAGAACATAAAAACTGAATTCTCTCCCCAAACTCTCATATTACCAACTTACACAAGCACTATGAAACTAACCCAAACATTACAAAAATGAGAAGCTGAAAAAATAACAAAAGCTGAGTCTGCAGATGCAAGAGCAGGTGTAGAGAAACTTGTAGTTGAAATGCAGTGCCTCACCCTACAGATATCAAAGGGCTTGAAAGCAGTATTATCTGTTTCATGAAAAAGTAACTTCCAACTGAATATTTTATACACTGCACTCTTATCTCATCTTTAATTATGTCACCAGATATGAATCATTTTGCAACACTGTGCATACAGTTTACTCTTACGGTGAAGTTTATGGCCAGTGTGACGGGTATCAAGATGGTTATGAACAGCGAATCAGCAAACTGCAAAAGAGCTGGTCATGGTCTTTAACTAACTATTCTTGCAATCACTTATCCTCGTATCAAATAAAATACATGACTGGGACTCTGGTATTGGATTTGCAGACCTTCCAAATTAGATCAAACACATAATCATCTTGCTCAGGGAGTTTCTAACAAGGAAGTTAAAAAGAAACAACCATACATGTATAAACAAATAAGACTACAATGGCATATAATATTTTGAGAGCACGTAATGCCATTAAAGAAAATACATACACTATTTCAGACCTGGAAATTTTAATTAAAAATGTCACACCATCACACTAAAAATTCCTGACGGATAATCCCCGAAACTTCTATCCTGGAAATATAAAACAATAAATATAAAACAATGTGGTACACCCATTTAAATTTTAATGAAGGCTCTATATCTGTATTTAGGTTGCAGCTATCCATTTCTGGATTGAAATTCCAGTGGCAGACACTAGGCTTTATGTGGCTAATAACATGCCATGGATACAAGTCCACTGGGCATGTCGTGACTGCACTGGAAAATAAATTATACATAAACATATTCTTCTGGATTAAACTTCAAATTCTTGAGTTCACTGAAGTCCATCACATCATGAGAATGAGATGATGATGACACTACTAAGCAGATATTCTCTAAATGTACTACATCTGTTACAATGGCTTCAAAATTAAGAACATACTTTATATATACACACACACACACAAATACTGTTGTATGAAATGTAGCATGCTTACTTCAACTGATACAAGAAAAGTTCAGTATTTTAATACTTGATACTGAAGAACAAATTGCTCCTATGCCTAAGCACCATGCAATGTAAACCATTTCATTTCCAGACATTATAATATAATTCTAACTTTTCACAGCACAAATACACTTAGATATTTCACATCTGCTTCACAGCTCAAACCTCCTTGTTGCATTTAACCCATATCTAGATATAAGACTTCAGTACTGAATAACTGGTGCAATCACTCAAGACTGCTTACTGCAAAACCAACATGCAGCAAAGAACAAAAATCTTCTGTTCTACTTCAGTCTTAAAGAATTCATATCTATGGTATGATATTTATGACGTACTGCAAGATTTCAAATTTGTTCTTTACTTTAATATCAGTTAGTATATGGCACTCACAATCTGGCAATGACAAGGAACAGTCTTGGCAATATGTTAAAAAAGGGGAGGGGGTGGGATTTAAAGGTGTGTTAAAATCCACTAGTAAGAAAATGTTCCATCTTGCCACAATGGCAGCTACAGGGACAGCTTGAATTTCAAAATGGCTCTGAATGTGTAAATATCCAAAACTCTGTAGCTGGCACAAAATACACTGTTCATCAAGTCTGCATTACTGAAAACAGTGTTCTATGAACGCAATGAGAAATGCAGGAAATGTCATGAAAATATATCATTTTCTCATAAAAAAAAACAGTAGTTTAAACATGTCACATGCACAGTATCTAATAATTATATAAATTTTGTACTTCAATATTTGAAAACTATATGAAATTTCGATTTACACATGACATGTATCAACTACACAATTCTGGGAGACAGATTTACTGTTTTTGCATAAAATATAAAAATCTTTCTGCAACTGCTATACAGAGCGGCAAGTTTTCTATCATTTTTCTGTAATTAAGATGTCTTCTGGTAATTAAAAGAAAATGATACCCTTAAGCAAGCAACTTCAGAAATAATGGGAATTTCTGTTTCTCTTATTATATGTTGCTTTTTTACCCCTAATGTGGGATGACAAGACTGAAATACATTATAGAGCTCATCATGCTAGCATTCAGCATTCCAGAAATAATAGCCAATAACCACCTCCATGGTATGTGGCTTGACAAACATCTAGCAAACTTCTCAGAGACATCCAAAAACAGTTTGCAGCCTCTGAGCTCAGACCCATCTAATTAAGGTCTGAGGTCAGTCATTCATTGCAGTCATTGCCCCTGTTATCAATCCATGTAAAATATGCACAGAAAAAGACTATCTCTGATTTAAAATCTTCCCAAAAGTGACACTTCGTTGCATAAATTTTGAGTTTTCACAGTGGTGACTGTTATGGCTGGTCTTATGGGTTATGACACTGTGTAGTTCTGTGAGTGAATACTGATGTTTCAGAGGAATATGCTACCTCTGTCTTCAAGAATTAAGTGTGCATGTTCAGCGACAGGCTTGGTTATTCAAGGAATTTGCAAGAAGGGTCATGAGACACAGAAAGGGAGTAAAGAACAAGAAACACCCTATCCTTGGATCCCATGATCACCCTCCTTGTAACTTCGCCATATAACCAAGCCAATTTCTGAACCTTTCATCTGTAACACTGCAGCGAAAAATTATGAAGAATGTCCACTGT